GCAGATGCTATGTGCATCAATGTACTATGGACTCAACATGCAGACACTGTGCATCAATGTAGATTTATGTACAGATGCTGTGTATCAATACTTTGGAGTCTTATACTGTACAGATGCAATGCATCAATGCTTGGAGTCTATGTTCCTCTAAGTCTTTTCAGACTGAGAAACATTCTGGCTCTCAACAAGTCCTCATACTTTTTGTCCTGTGTGTGGCTTTGTCTTAACATGTACCTACTCCAATCTAGATTTGTTCTCATCATTCTTATCAGTTCTTATCAGCAAGCTGTCTCTGTTGCTCTTAATATCAACTTTACACAGAACCTGGTTAGACACCCATGCTGTGCCTTATCCTGTAGTTGGTAGACCTCCCCTCTCAAGTTCTTCAGCAGCTTCAGAATGGGCTGTGTGATAAGTTCATTATGTTAAAGACTAACCACTTTGTGGATACATATTAGACATTTTTGACATTTTAGAGTTGAGGGGGTATGGGGGGTGTGGAAGCTGACAATTGGAGACTTTCTGAAGCTGTGAGTGGCCATGGAAGGATGTTAGGAAGGGGAGGTTTGGATTTTTAAAGACTTCCCTTGGCTCAAGCATACAGGAAGATAGCCAATTACAGTATGTAGCATTTTGAAGAGTTACCTGTGAAGTCTTCCCAGACCTAAAAGGGCATTTAATATTCACCTTATCTTTGGTTTCCTGTATTTATCCATTGATACAGAAAGTTGGATTGCTTTACAATTGGGAATTTCTTTGTTGAAGCATATTAGAATATGAATGCAGTTAGTTTACTGAGAGAGGTTTTGGTTTTCTTCATCAACTTCATTGAGACGTAATTTACCGTCAGTAAAGTGTACAGTTGAGTGCATTCTGAGAAAGGTACACACGTGTGTTAAACGCCCACCTCAACTGAAGTGTAGAGGGTGTCCATCACCCTGGACCGCCCTTTGCGATTGTCTTCATGCCATCTCCACCACGTCTCCCCTTGTATTTCAACTGACTGGCCTACTTCCAGCACTCACTCCTGCCTAGATCCTATTGTGAAATTCAGAGGCAGCTTTTTTCAAAGCTTTGTTGAGATATAACTGACATGGAAACTATAAAACTTTAAATTTGCAATTTGATTTTTTTTATTACTATTTTTTTTTAATTTTATTTTGATTTGGGTGAAGATTTACAGAGTAAATTCACTTTTCATACAGCAGTTCACATAATATACTTTGTCTCATGTCATTGACCAAAATTTACAATGCAACAGCTCCCCTCCCACTTCCTCCCCATAGTTACCTCTTCCCAGTGTCCATCCGTCCATACTCTTCTGCGCCCTGAGCTGTCTCCCTGTGCATAAGCAGCCCTTCCTTCTCCCATGATTACAATTTGATTTTTGACGTGTTCTTTTAGTTGTCTGTGGCTGCTTAACATATGACCCTGGCACTTGGCAAGTTTGAACAACAAACATTTGTCATCTTGCACAGCTGCTGTTGGTCAGGGGTCTGGAAGTGGCTCTGGCCTCAGGGTCTCACAGGGTCACAGTGAGGTTATTGTCTGGGGCTAGAGGATCTGCTTTCAGGCCCATTCCCAGGGCACTTGGCTGCCTTCTGTGCTGGCTGTTGGCTAAGGCTTTAGTTTCTCTTCACCTAGGCCTTTACCTGGCTGTGCACAACATGGCAGCTGGCTCTGAGCATGCAAGATTGGACAGTCTCTATAACCTCATCTTGGAAGTGACGTACTGTCCTTTCTGCTGAGTACTGTTGTTTGCACACACTAGCCCTGGTCCAGGGTGGGAGGATACTACATTCACCTGTGAATATCTGGAGGTTGGGGCATTTTGGATGCTGATGACCACACATCTATATAATATGCCCATGAGACCATTGCCACAGTGAAGGTAGGCTTCCGTGCCCCCAAAGCTTTTATCCTGCCTGCTTGTAAATCCTCTGTCCCGCCCCATTCCCTTCTTCCCGCAGTCACCCATCTGCTTGCTGCCTGTCACCATGGATTTGTTGGGATTTCCTAGACTGGGGTATGAGTGGAATCACAGTACCTGCCCATGGACCCTTTTGGTCTGGCTTCTCCTACTGTAACTGTTCTGAATTTGTCCCTTTTGTGCACCAGCACTGTATGCCTTGTCGTTGCTGAGCAGTATTCTGTTGTAGTGTTAGACCATGGTATGCTTGTCCATTCACCTGTTGATGGATATGAGTTGGTTCCAGTTTGGGGTTTTAGCAAATACATCAGCTGTGAACATCTGTATAAGTATAGATTTATGTTTTCATACCTCTGTGGTGAATGTTTAGGGGTACGATGATTTGATCATCTGGTAGGTGTCTGTATAACTTTTTAAGACATCGCCAAACTGTTTTCCAAAGTGAACGTACCGTTTTATGTTCCTTCCAGGAGTGTATGAGGATTCTAGCTCTCCTGTAGCCACATCAGCACTTGACATGTTCAGTCTTTTCATTTTTCCTATTTTGGTAAAGGTGGAATGGTACTTTCTTTTTTTTTTTTTTTTTAATTTTATTTTGATTTGGGTGAAGATTTAAAGAGTAAATTCACGTTTCATACAGCAGTTCCAATATACTTTGTCTCATGT